GGAACTGTATGCCCAGAGACCCCTTAGCGAAGCACTGTTGCATGCAAGACGCAGTGAGTATAAGTGCAAGATGCTCTGTGTGTACTGAAAGTAAAAATTGCAGGCATTTGCAGTCGCCCTCGAAGTCATTTCTAAACGTCGGCGCCGCTGGAACAGCCCTGTAAGTGAAGAAAGGCAAAGTGTGCCCGCGGGCAGGTAGTTTAGGACCTCCGGCTGGGGTGTGTGCTGTAGTTGCCAAACCTGCCCTCCAATTGCTCTAGCTGAATTTCCCGCCCAAGCCGGCGCTGGGGTGCCTAGTCCTCGCGCTGAGCCCGCACCCGTCTTGGAGACAGCCCACATTCTGTGAGCGGCGAAAGTACCCCAAGAGTGCCTCTTTGCAGTTCGGGCTTGGCTATACTGGGGAAGGGGCGCAGCATTGACTCTGTCAAAATCCAGGGGCAGGGGCAGCTCCAATGGTCCAGGAGAGATTAGGATTTGTAGGACAGCAGTTCAGAACAGAGAGTTTCCGAAACTACCAATAAAGTATCCCGGGGCTTGGTAAATGAACGAACCTTCGATGGGCTCCGAACAATGCTTTATATAATTTTTCTTGCCCCCTTCTCTCCTTTCACCAAACTAACCCTAATTCTAAGCGAGAGCCCTAAGGGCTAGGGTACAAATTACCTCAACCCCTCCTCCCTCCGGTTTACCCTCACTATCACACAAGGAAGATACAAATAAACCCGGTGGTAAAGCGGGTGCATTCATGCACCCCCATCCCAACACACACGCGCACACACATATCCCAAACCACCCACCCACACACACTCCCATACACCTCACCACCCGCTCTGACCCACCCACTTCCCGGGGAGGGGAGGGCCTGGGAACCTGATCTCTGGGCTCCAGCCCCAATGTTTCCCCATCAATAATGTTGATACCATCGATGCGTCTCCTCCCCCGCCCCCCGGGCGCCGCTACCGCCTTTTCCCTGCTTTCAGCTTAGGGAAAGAAAACGAAACCTCCTCTCATGCCCTCCTAGCCTCCGCCGGGGTCTAGCAGGGCCTGGGACCCGCGGTTCCCGGGGCCCAGGCGGAGCGCTTGGGGCGTCCCCCAGTTTCCAGGGAGGGTGACCAGCCCGCGTCAGAGACACAAAAAGGAGGACCCGGGACTCAAACAAGGCCTCATCTCACGCCCCTTTCCAGACCTGGGGTCAGACTGGGCCATAATAAAATAACTTTTGTGGAAAGCAAAACCAGGCCTCGGAAAGGGACGCCTCAGCACCCTCTGCCCTTCCCAGCATTGGGCGGGCACGAGTAAACAGGCCATAAACCTTTCTCTGATAATGGTGGTGTGGCCGGCATTCGGACACAGCCCTTCGGCCCTGACAACTCACCAAGGAAGCTCTAGGTCTTGAGAAACCTGAAGGGATAGATTCATAGTAACACAGGCATCAAGCCCCAAAATGGAAGTTTGTAAAACTCACCAAGTGCTTCTCCCAAATGCGGCCCCTCTCCACCCACGAGGTCATGACCTCGGTGTAGCCCAACTGCCTCACTTCAGGTCACCCCCATTTCCCATTGCGACTCAGTCCCCTAAGTGCCAGGTCCTCTAAGGAATCACAATCAGCTTCTCCCACTAGCTGTCCCCACCCAGGGCTGGAATAGCGCAACCCCTTGTAGAGCGCTAGACATGGGAATGGTCTACAACCGCGGCATCTCACTTGCACTCGCTGCCTTCACCGACTTGCCCAGAAATAAAAATGAACCCCACTCCGTCTCCGCATGTATTTATTTAATTATTTCTTTCCTAGGCAGTACACGGAGCCTCCCCAGTTCCCTGATGCAGGAGAGGGGAGAGCCGGCGTCAGCGAACCAGGCAACATCGGCCCGAGACAATGGCCGGTAATTGATGTATTGCCATCAACAGAAAAGTCTAATTCTCCTCTCCCGGCCATTCTGACCATTCCCCTCCTCCCGTTCCCCTCCCCCCACCTCTCCTCTTCTCTCCCGGAGCTACAAGGGAAAGAAAACAAACAAGAAATTAGCTAGGGACATCAGGCACTGAGTTTGTCGCCTGCCTCTACACCATCAAGGACACAAAAGAACGAAAAAAGTTGTTGAAGTTTGGATCCCCAAATTAAGTCCTCCCTGCTTGCCCATTTTTAATTAAACATCGAAGAGCTGCTTTGCGTGTGCATTTCGTTCGGTTGTTTTGGTGGGGAGGAGGAAAAGCTTTTTTAAAAATAAAACAAAACCCTCAATCACATATAGAACAAGTTAGTAACTTGTGTGACGCTATTCCCTCGAGCTTCCCGCACCGTCCGAGATGCGGACCCGGATGAAGGGATCGCTAGTTCGGCTGGGTTCCTGGCAGCGCAGCAAGCAATGTTCCGGAGGCCCGAACTTTCAAGGAGCCAAGATCGTGAGAAATAGATGTAGGTGTCTCCAAAAGCTGGCAATTGGGGGAAAAAGCTAGTGTACACGTGTGCACGGACGCGTTCGTGTACCTAGAAGAGTGCAGTTGGCGTATTTGCAAGGGCGCCTGTTTGCGGGTACGGAGTGCGTTGTGGGATTTACTTGTACTCCTGTACACATTCCCGGGGGTCTGGGGGAAGCGAGCGGCTCAAACCGCAGGAGCGCACAGATCCATCTTTGCCGAGTGATCTCTTTAAATATTCAGTGAGAAATAATGGCATTTGAAGCACCACCTATGGAAACATTATTATCTTCATTCTTCAACATCAGCCCCACTGATAGCTTCGTTTGTCTTTTATCAAAATCTACAGTACCCAACAGGACCTGGGGAGAAAGGGAGGCGAAGAGGGAGTGTGTACAATGCCAAGGACCAAGCAATTGCAGAGGAGACGAAAAATAAGAGAAAAGGTGAAGAAAAGGGGGCGGGCAGGGAAAAGACGGAAGAAGTTATACTAAGTAAGGAAAAAAAAAAAAAGTCAGCAGGAGAAAAACAGAAGCAAACATTCAGCTGCACACAAAAGATTTGGATTTGGAAGAAAAAAAAAAAAGACCTAAGACACTAATATAAAAGGTCATTTGGGAAGTGCGATTCACTTAGGGTCCAGAGTACCCAAAGCTCCGCTTGGGAGCTCGGTGCCCACTTCGCGCGAACCGACTATATGTAGCACTATTCGCTCTCGAATTGAGTCGTCCTTATGAGCCCTCTCCTTTCCCGATCACGAGATAATACAGGATTGTGTATCTGCACCCCCTCCTCCCTCAGGCAAAGTTTAGTTTGTCCTCCCGGCGCAGGATTTCTGGAGAAATTTAAAGGAGACCCTGAGCCACGAGGAGGAAGAGCAGGGCTGGGCAGAGGACCAAACCCCAGGTTCGCGGGTGCCGGAGCTTGGCGGAGGGAGTGGGGAGTTTGGGGGCCAGATTTTGGGGTGCAGGTAGGGAGACTGCATCCCAGACCTGGGAGATAGAGATAGAGCAAAAAGTTTGGCGCCGCGCTCGGCAAGTGTCGGGAAAAGTGGAGGCGAGCTCCTGAGCAGCTAGGGAGCCGCAGATAGGGACCCTCTCACTCAGTCCCAACTCAGCGCCACCACACAGTAGCCCGGAGACCAGGGCTCAGCTACCTCAACCCTCGCTGGGCTGGGACGGGAGAGCAGGGGTTCGGGGAACTGGCTTCGGCTAGGGTCTGGCTGGGCCGGGCCACGTTTTCGGAGGCCGAGGGCGGACTGCAAGGCCGGGTAATCAGCGGCCCCTCCCCCAACCAGAGCAGAACGGAGCCCAGGCGGGTCCCGCTCTCCTCCCGCCTCGGGCTCGGCGGCGCCACCGCAGCCGACGCCTCCCCGCAGAGTGACGCGCCCAGTAGCCAACCCTGGGCGGCTGGGGGGGAGGTCCGGGAGGGGTCCTGGGCGGAGCTGGGCTGTCCCTTATCCCACGGGCTCCGGGGACTCTTCTCCCGAAAACTTCAACCCTAATTGTCCTGGGAATGTCCGAGGTAGAGAAAGGGAGAGAAGGAGTAAGCGAGAGGCAAAACAATCGGGGGCCTTTGAGCGGGAGGTATGGGGAGGGGGTGGTGGGAGACCTGCCCGCCCCAAAACAGCCCCAAACCCATCAAGTCCCCAAACCTTTCCTCGGTCCTCTTCGCGCCCCCGCGAGCCCGGGATCCTTGGGATGGAGAACTCGGGGCGGAGGAGCGCCGAGCCAGGCGGCGAGAGGCAGGGAGGCCGGGCCGCGGGCGGGAGGCATACCGGCGTGGGGACGGCTCTTCCCCACGCGCTTATTATTTTTTTTAATGGGGGTGGGGGCGGGCTGCTTTCTGGTAGTTCTTTAAGAAACGGAGAAACACTCACGAAATGGGACGCCCTCCCCCCAAGTCCCACCACAGGACTCCCTCCCCCTCTCCTGTGGGCCCCCGCGCACCATGCGCCGGAGTTGGGAAGTTCGCTGCGCTCCCCGCAGCCTCTGTCCCCAGCCCCCACTTCTCTGCCCCACCCCCATCGGAGCGGCTTAATTCCGGGGAGGGCATGCTAATTTGGGTCGGCCCAGCACAGAATGGGGGGGCAGACTGGGCTAGGGCGGGAGGAAGGGAGGGGGCGCTGGGCCCGGGCGCCGGGCGCGCTGTGGCAGGGACACAGGCCCCCGGAGGCCCGGCCGCGGAGTCCCCGGCGGTCGCGAAGAGGGTTAACCCAGTCTCGGGCGGTGCGGCATGCAGAGCCAGCCCCGCGGCCGGCTTATTGGGCCAGCGCGCGGAAAGACAGGGGTCTGCAGCAAATCACGAACTAATTGATTAAGGCGAGCGGGTTTGAATAGCGCTGGCCCGGTGCCAATCGCCTTTCAAAGAGCCCCTCTATGATTAATCGCAATGCATTATTGATAATCATAATTATAGCAGGACACATGCGCGCTGCGCCCCGGGCCGGGGAGCCGGGGAGGGGGCGGGCGGGCCGGCGGGCGGGGGGAGCCGCCGCCGCCGCAGCCGCTCGATTTCCGTAATTTTGAGAAGATTTTTTTTTAGTAATTTTTTATTCTGCCCCAGCTGATGTTTGAGCCAGCATGTCGCGGAGGAAACAAGCGAAGCCTCAACATTTCCAATCCGACCCCGAAGTGGCCTCGCTCCCCCGGCGAGATGGTAAGTGCTTCGGCCCGCGCTGCGGACACACACACATACACACACACTCACACACACACACACACACACACACACACGTACTCACACTCACGCACACTCGGACCCACGCACACGCGGGCTGGCCCCCGCTTCCCCGGCCCCGCCGGCAGCGGCCCCGCTAGCCTTCCAGTCTCGGCATTTTTTCTTTTTCTTTTTAATTTTCAGTTTGCCTCTGCCTGGTTTCCCCCTGCCCCGGGGATAGCAAACACATCTCCCTGCAGGATCTTTCCGGAGTTGTTGGTTTCTTTGGTTGGGAGGAGGGAGAGCGTGTTTGCCTTTCTCCTCAGTCCCTGCTTTTCCCGGGCGGGGAGTCCGAGAGGCTGCCGGGGCCCTGGCGGAACTAGCGTGCGGGCAGAGGCTGCTCAGGCCCCTACTCTCCCTGCGCCGATCCCGGGGCCCCCGGCCCCGCTCCGCTGCCCCGGCCCTTCTTCTAGCGCGGAGGAAGTTTACTTGGTACGCTGCACTGAACTCCGAGCGTGAAGGGAGCGCCCTGTTAAACCCCCACCCCCTGCTCAAACTCCACTATGGCCCGCGCGGGAGAAATGGAGTGGCTTTGGGTTGCCAAGCTGCCTGAGAGTCCCAAGCTTGACGTTCTGGGGTCGCGGCCGTGGTGGAGAGTGGTTTGTGCTGCTGGTTACTCCCCAAAGGGAGCAGACGCGGAAGGTGTCCGGGGCCCTGGTACCCATGTTTATCCTCGAATCTTTCCGCACAACACGTGCACCTTCCGCCCCCAATGATCTTAGAGTCTGCATGCTCCCACTGAGGATCATGGAACCCCGGAATTCCTGCTGGGTCAGGGAGTTGTGAGTGTAATTTTTCAGGATCGAGCACTCAGCCCGAGGAGAACCCCCTGTAGCTGAGGCAATCGCTTTCTCTGATGGAGGCGACCACTCCAGGGTCCCGAAGGGAATGAACAAGTCTAAAAACAAAGTTTGTGTTCAGAATCTGCGGCTGAGAGGGAGAGGTCCGGAGAGGGAGTTTGGGATACGGAGGACATCTCGAATCCCTCCTTGTCCCTAAAATGCTATGTTTTAGTAGGCTTGGGGCTCCTAGGCCCAACGCCGGGAGGTTCCCTAGCTCCGTTTCTCTTGTCATCCCGGTATGGTGTTCACCTCCCTGCCGGCTGCAGGGAGAATGAGGGGCAACCTCAGTGGATGCTCACGTTTACTGGGCGCTATTTGGAGACATAAAGGAGGGAGCTGGACCCCGACTGGGCTCAAAGCAGCCCCGGAGATCGCCATCTCTGCCCACCCAACTCCGAGGCCCGGGCCCCAATGTCCCAAGGATCCTTCCCTAGAGGCCTGCCTCTGCTGGGTCACGGGAACCCCCACTCTCTTCACTCGCTGTCCAGGAGGGAACACCTGGTGTAGGGTGGAGCTATGGAAAATGAAGTGTCCTAAGACCGATTAAGAAAATTGTTAGAGTGTTTTCCCCCAAGTTCCTTCTCAAAGCTTTTCAACCTTTATGGAGAGCCGCTGCGATTTCTCAGTGGAATAGAGCCCCTGAGCTGCGCTTTCCACCCCAGACAAAACCGGGTGTGTGGGGTAAATCGAGCGAAATCAACCGATAGCCAGTACTCCTGATCTTTTTCCGAGTATTTCCAACTACTTTCCTATGCGTCTCACCCCCACATCCATCTTTCCTAAAGTTTCTGGTGAGATCGTCGGCAGCTACATACTGTCAGAGTCACAATTTATATACGAAAATATCAAAAGGGAGAAAAGAGAATTACTATTCTTTTTTGTAAATTTGTGCAAATTTTATCCTCTTCGTCCCTACCTCAAAAAAAAAAAAAAAAAAAAAAGTAAGTAAGTCCAGGCTGCACAGAGAAAAACTAAAGCTTGCTAGATGTTTATCTTTCTCCTCTCACCTTCTGAATGAAGAATTTTTTATAGGTAAGACTTCTAAAGCATAGTAAAAGAAGTCCACTGCTTCTTCTCATTTTTATTTAGTAGTAATATTTGAGATACATTAGTTAAATAACTGAAAGAAGTTTCCTTGCTGTCTCTCATTTTTCTTCCTTTTGATTGCTTTTCTTTTTTTTTATCCCCAAAGCTAGTTCATTGTCCTAAGAAGCAGTAAAGTGTTAGGGGCGCTGTATGAAACACTTTCTTCCCCACCCCCTCCTGGTTTTTTTCTACTCTGTAGTAATGGCTGCTTTAGGTTAGGACTGGTTTTACATGGTTGAACAATAAGTTTGGGAGAAGTTGCCTAGAGGGTTGATTTTGTAATAGGGCTAGAAGATTTAGTGTGGTGTGGTAATCTTGCTGCTGGGTATTACTGACTAGATTTCCAACTTATAGCGACCCCATGTGACAGAGGAAAACTGCCCCAAAAGGTTTTCTTGGCTGTAACCTTTACCAGAGAAAATTCAAGTCTCTCACCCCGCTGAGTGGCTGGGTGAATTTGAACAGCTAATGTTTCTGTTAGCATTTGAGCTATACTTAACCATTAGGGTTTCAGTTTTTGCAGTATTGATACACAACAAATTCTCCCCAATGCCTGTTTTCCAGATGGGCCTTTCATATCCAAGCACTTCTTCTTTGGAAATATTTGTGGGATGAAATTAAGAGTTTGTAACATAACTCAAAATTACTTTTAAAAAGTCACCTTTTTCTGCAGTGAATTCAGCAATTTGTTAGTCTCCCCCACATTTATACTCCTCAAGAAGTAGTCTTTTGTTTTTATTTTTTTAAACTTCTGTGTAAAGGTCATTACATTTTAGAAGACAAACCCTTTTTCAAAGAATTGGTCTATTTTTTCTGATGTCTGGAGACCCTTTAGCAATTACAATACTGAGCACATGGAATTCAAGCTCTTTTTTGCCCTTTCTCATGTGTTACCCCTTCAGATTGGATTATCTCACCCTAGCATAAGACCTAGAGAAGTTTGTAGACCTCAACCTCAGCCTTAAGGACCTAATGTACTGTGGGTGTCAAAGGGGGGGCGTCAAAAACTTGGTGGGAAAATCGAGGTAAAAGATATGGAATTTTTCCATGAACTTATTGGAGCCCCCTTGTATGTGTGTTTTACTTAAAAAACAAACAAAAACCTTAGCCATGCTGTGTAGACAAACTGGTAGAACCTTCATTGGAGCAAGTTCCAGAAAACAAAATTGTTTGGTCATTCTTATGATGTTGATATTTTAATTCTACTTTAGTTTAATTGAAATGCCCTAAAATAAACTTGGGGGGGGGGGTCTGTGTTTCTTATGAAACCAAAATCATGGCAAATATGACTTGTCTCTGAAATGATATTCAACAAGTCTCGATTACTCATAGGAACATGACTGCCTTAGGAAAGACTATATACACAGTTAAGCAATTTTGAGTAAAAGGAATGTTGAGTGACTTGAATGGTTTTATTGCATGTGTTCTTTACTGGAGATTTTAGTACTTTGTATGGATGTGTTAGGATCTTCATCCTTAAAAAGGTAGCTTGGTGCTTAACCTTTTCAAAGAAAAGATAATATTGGAAGAAAAATAAAAACATCATGAATGGCAGATAAAACATTGACTTTATAATATTAAGAATCATAAAAATTTCTCTTATTTATATTAATAATGAAATTATATTATTTATCAAAGTAATTTACTCATTGTGAGCTTCTTAATGGCACCACATTGATCTCTGGGCCCAAAAGGTTAGAGAGAACCATAATTAATTGCTTTTCTTGAAAAACCAACACCTGCAAGATAAGGCTGCTAGAAAGAATTTATGTTTCAGTAGGCCTATTTTAAGTTTGTGGCATAATGGGAGATTCTGGATGAGAAAATGCAAAATTTGGGGGGTATTTGCTTTAGGCTACTCATTCTTCCTCATATGTTAAAGCATACAAAGTCTAGTTGTGTGAGAGATAGTGTTTAAGAGTGAATTTGTGATAGTGTAGGTTTTGTGGTTGCTTTTTACGTCAGGGTTTTCCTATGGTTTATGAACACAAGTGCCAATTTGTTAGGTTATTCTTTGAAGGCTTCATTTTGCGTGTTTATTTTTTTTTTTCCAGCTTTCCCAATTGAAAGTCCTTTAGAAGACAGAAACCCTCATTTTTAATGTAGAGAACTTATTGAGAACTTGAAGGAGAAATATGGAGAGTAGCAGTTAAGGCTTTTTGAGGTTATTGAAAGCCAAGCTCTCGGTAGCAAACAGAACAAATTCCTTTTTACAGTCTGAACTCGATTTTTCTAAAACTGTCTGGTGCAGCTAGTCACATCTTCCAAAATATGGTAGAGTTTAGCAGAGAAGATGGTTAGTTAACCTAAGAACCAACACTCCTCCCCTGCAAAAGAAAAAAAGCTTGTGTCTCAGGCTTTAGAAAACCTAGATGTGTTGAGCTGTTTTAACCTTTGCTAGCCTCCTTCCATGCAGAGGTGACAAGGTCCAGATCATAATATGTCCTTCAGTATCTTCCCAGTGACCCCCAAATTGAGCCTTGCTAGTCACTTAGCAGGAAGTTAGTAGTTTATTTTAGTTTCACCTTATCAGCTTGGCTTCTTTTCCTAACCTTATTCCCTTGTCACCCTCAGATGCCAGACCCCCAAAGAGGAAGATTGACAGGTAGTCCCCATAGCTTAGCTTTACCCTCAAACAACAGGGATTTAGTTTCTTGTGCCTTTGCCAATGTTTATGTAGTCAAAGTTTAGATCTTGCCTTAAGGAGCCTCTCTTTTACGCGTCACTGGAATAGGAAAGCCACAAAGAAGTTTTTAAACGAACCCTTGCAACTGGAACCCCATCTAGTGTTCAGTTTGATTCATCCACGGGGAAGACATTTTCCCCCTTTCATTTCTTGTGTACACTTAGAGGAGCATGGATTACTGTAGTAAAAGCAGTGTCTTGTCTGTGTTGTTAGTTTTCACTTGTATTCTTCCACTCGAGAATACACTAATCCTGGTCAGAACACAGCACTAAGTTGAAGGTGCCAGTAAATTTGTCATTTGATTACATATCACATAGAGGAAACTTTAGATACAACAGGAAATATGCCCGGCATATGTTGCTGCCGTGTTTAAAGTGTCTTTGAAATCTTAAATTGTACATCCAGATTCAGGCATTTACCAGGTCTGAGCAAAAAAAAAAGAATTGTCAATCAAAAACGTCTGTGACATAGCCTTTCCAAACATGTCTACGGAAGGGAACAGCCTATTAAATGATGAGATCCGAACTCATGATCGGGAAGGGTTCTGTTAAAAATGCAATCTTAAGGTAGTGAAGCGGGGGGGGGGGGGAGTATAAATGAAGGGGGGGGGGGGGGAAGTACAATGAAGTATATCTATCTTTCTGAGGAGGTCCAAAAAAGAAAACGAAATGTGCTAGAGTGGGTTTTGCTTTGCTTCATTTCTTTTTCTTTCTGTCTTTCTTGGCTGGCTAACCCATTCTGTGTGGGGCATAGCTTTATTTTTATTTTCTCAGTAGACAAATATGCTGGAACACTTCAATTTTCTGCTTCCCATTCTGCAGTGTTTGGTTCAGATGATGAAAAACCGACAAATTTGATTTAGGCATCAAGTACCCAATTAGAACTATAAAACATCTGGGATTTTGGTATAAATTGGGTGGAGCTGTAAGATCACCCCCACCCCAAAGGCACAAAATGTTTAAACATCTTTTTTGTGTATCTATATTTAGAAAATTACTATTTCTTAAATTTTCCTATCTGACTAGGATTACAAAATTGCTTTAATTTGCATGCAAAATCCATTGGAAAGGATCGGCATGTGATTTTCACCATAGTACAAGGGAGCAAGGCAACTGTATTTACTATAATGGGGTCACCAGTTGCAATCCCATTTAAGAGATTGAGCTAGATACAAACTAGCAGATGAGAGGGGAATGAATTAGAATTTGCTAGTGTTTGGCGTCTTTGTATTTTATTAACAGCTTAAATAATTCTCCTTGGCAGGTCAAGATTTCAAACTTGTCTTCATGTTTTGCCTTTTTTTTTTTTTTT